ATAGATGGAAGGATGCCAAGATTTAGGAAGTAGGGAGGAAAAATAGGGAGTTAAATGAAATAACTCAGAATTTTGAAGAGTAATGAATACGTAAAGATGCAATGTCCCATTCTCTCTCTTTTTGTCGCCCAGGCCATGTTTTCCAACTACCTGTTCTTCTTTCTTAATAATGTTTGTATACCAGTCACAGTAATTATTAATGCATTTTTATTAACATTCAATCAATTTGAGATGACAGAAGTTGGTTGTTTTAGGTGCCATCAAGTTGAAAAGACTCATAGACACCCTGTGAATGACAGAATGAACCCTGTCCCGTCCTGAACCATCTCCATCATGTCTGACGTATGTGAGCCCATTGCTGCAGTTCCAGTATCAGTTCATCTCATCACAGATTTTCCTTTCTTTCACTGACCCTCCACTTTTCTAAGCGTGGTATCTCTTTCCAAGGAATAGCCTCCCCTAGCAGCATGCCCAGAGTACGTGCCCGAAAGCGTTGCCATCCTTGCCCCGAAGGAACAAAACAACTGTTTGTTCTTTTGTCAGCCTATGGGACATTCAGCTCTCTCTTCTGGCAGCTCAGAGGCATTACCTCTTCTTCTGTCCTCCGTATTCTTTGGCCAGCTTTCAGACATATAGCAAAAATTGGTAGAAATCCTTCATTTCTTCATCTTTGGCTGGCTTGATTGGTGTGTTTATTTGATTAATAATTGTAGTAACAGGTTTTCCTTGAATATGTGTAGCTAGTGTGCTATGACTCAGAGTATTCTACTTCAGGATTGATCTTAAAATGTTTTTGGAGTTTTTATGTCCCCACTTTCCAGCATATTAGATCATGTGATTGGATTAAAAATGGCCAGTATCAGCCCATCTCAGCTCACAAAGACCTTTCTGCATCCTGTTTTGTTTTTGATATCTTCCAATTTTGCTAAATCCATACATAGTACATTCCACAATCCAAACATTAACAGATGGTTTCAGCTGTTTCTCCTTATATTGAATCTTGCCACATCAGCAAATGAAGGCCCTTCATTGCGTGAAAGCTTTACTCCATCTGCAGGTAGACTCTACTTTGAGGAGCTGCCGCTTCCCAAGTTGTATTGTTAATGCTTTTCTGGGGAAACACCTTCAGCACTATCTCCAGCAACAAGTAAGGAAACCTGAAGAAGAATTGATGCCTTTGAATTGTGGCATTGGCAAAGAATCCTGAACTCACCATAAACTACCAAAAACGCTAAATTTATCATAGAGACATTACGACCAGTGTGTTCCCTAGAGACAAAGATGATGAAACTTTGTCTCCCTTTCTTTAGGCGTATTCTCGGTAGACACCAGTCCTTGAAAAGAGACATCATTCTGGAAAAGGTTCAGTGATACAGGTTGACAAAGTTACTGAGATCCACACTGAATTCAGTCATATCTAGAGGAGAGATTATTTTGTTGGGTTTTTTTGTTTGTTTGTTTGCTATACTCCAAGACAGTGACATTAACTCTGACTGGATAGATGGCCGGACAGGGGCTGGGACAGAGGGAAGCATCTTCAGTTGCAGCTTTCTTCACAGTCCAGGCCAGTAACTTTATCTTCTTTACTTGCTTGTTCTGCTTGAGGTAGTAGTTGACTTCAAGGCCTAGGTGGCTGGATTAATTGTAGGAGACACATTCCTACACTTATAGAAGACCATGTCTGTAGCTATTTTCACATGCAAGAAGCCATTTGTCAAAGCAGTAAGTGCCCTGTGAGAATGGATGTCCTTACCAATTCCTGAGCCTTTTCTTGGCTAGGGCATTTATTGATTTCTTGGTGTTCTACCTTTTTATAGGGACAGGGACCACCAGCTTATCTTCTCTGTGGCCATGTGTATATTGGCATCTTGAGAACCTAGACAAGAGAGCTCTCCTGCCTTAAGCATTTTGTATTTCTTTCCTGTAGCCTAGACCTGACCTCTTACCCTACAGCCGTAACTAGCTCCTTTCATCTTTCCCTTGCTCCATGGTTTTTCCAGCCCAGCCCTCAATCTTAACATGAAAACAGGCAAGTAGCACACCACTCAGAGAAGTCTAGTGCCAGCAAGTTCATCTCACAGCTCTGAACCTAGTCTTCCTACTTGTGCAGTGAGATACCAAATGCTAGCATAGCACTAAGAATTGATGAGGGTTTTTATAAAGCTTATAATGCGGAGGGGAAAAAAAAATAAACGATGAAACAAGGCAATTGAGTTTGCTGGTCTCTTTTTTGTATGATTTTTAGCTCTTCTCTATATTTCTTTCTCTGTCCAGGACCTCTTACTGAATCCTTTCACACTGCTTAGCTATGAAAACCAGGGACCATCTAGTTTTCTAGTGTCAAAGTAGTAGAGCCTGGAGTTCACTTGGTTTTTAGTCCTTTGAAATATGTATTGTTTTTAATTTTCTTCACTTTTCTTTGCTCTGGACAGGAAGTGACTAATAGTTGCTCCTTAGGTGGCTGCTTACAAGTTTTTTTGTTGGTTTTTTAAAATTTTTTTTTATTTTATTGTGTGCGTGTACCATCAAATCAGATCTGACTGATACAGGAGGAGATTGTTCCTCCTTCTCCAGCAGAGCATCTGGTGGATTTGAACCGCACACTTCTGGGATTACAGTATAGCTTCTTGCCACTAGGACATCAGAGCTCTCCTGCTAACAAGTTTTTAAGGTCCCAGTCCCTACTCAACAAAGTAGGATATAGAACTATTCTTTGTCAAATATATTTATACATACACACACACACACAGATGGGTATAATCCCATTTGTTCTACCATTCCTTTGCAGTTTGCATATCTATTTATGTGTCCACTCATAGATTATTTTATTACAGTATTGTAATAAAAAACTGTAATACAGTTATTGCAGTATTGTATTTGTGATAGTATTTGCCTTTATTGCCTTTTACTCTTATGTACCTCCTGGAGACCGTAGGCCTTAGTAATCTTTTCTCTGAAGCTGAATTCACTCCTGTAGCTCAACTTTAAGACAAATGATGGACAGACCATAAAGTGAACAATAACCCTCATTAGAAAAACTGACTGCTTAAGATCAAAAGGGCAGCATTTGCCCATGAATAAATCCCATAAAGTAGGAAGGGATAGAAAAGGAAGACTAAGGGAAATGGTAATCACAGGAAGGAAGAGGGATGAGTGCTGCAACTTGGTTGGAATTGCCATCAAAGTTGTGAAACAAAATGTGTGTATGAACTGTTGGATGGAAAACCAATTTGCTTTACAAATGTTCATCTAGATCACATTTTTTTAATTAAATTTTATTAGTTTTAATGAACATTTACAGAGATTTTGGGTTTTCATTCATTCATTGTTGCACTGTTTTCTCCACCCTCATCCCCAGTTCGTTCTTCTTTCCCCCCCATGTCTGTTTTAATTGTCCAATTGCCACAGTGCTTGTCAAAGCCAGTTCTGATTAATCTCCTTTGTCAGTGTGTCCCTTGCCATTCCCTATCACTCCTCCCTGAGAGAGACTTCACCCTGATTCATAAGGAAAAGGGGATGGCGTATTCTCTTAGCTACTTCCTGCTGAAAAGGGACGCTGTGGGTTTCAGGGTGAATGTCTTCTCTCACTACTCTAAAGGGCCCCCTTGGCAGCAGGAAACACATAGACTGTTATGGAGATTGATTTTGGAATTTAGATGCACTGTTATCAATTGTGCTTAGCGGAACATGTTTATATCCTTGAAGATGTATCATGGAAGTGTTGCAGCCTAGAAGATACAGATTTAACTAATAAGTTAAAAGTGCATGAGTCAAAAATTGAAAAGCAATAATATTCTGAGTAGAGGTTCTAATAATGGCACAAATCAAGTTACAGAGGTAAGGTGGTTCCATTGCCATCCTTACTCTAACTTAATTCTTTTTTTTTAATTTAAATTTGTTATTAATTTCAGTGAAAATTGAAAAGGTAATACAACAACTTCCAACCAAGAAAAGCCCTGGAATAGATCACATATTTTTAATGGCTGTTGATTAAATTTCTTAATATAATTATAACTGTTACTGGTTTTGATGAGGTGTTTTAGTCCTAACTGCTTTTTTTTTTTTAATAAGTAGACAGAGGTAAAGCAGGAGATGAGCACTAACTGCTTTTTTAAGATATAATTAATGTACCATAAAATTCACCCTGCTGATACATTCTTATTAACTGGATCGTTTCAGCCTGGTCTTTCGGAAATAATCTTGGCCTTTCTTTTGTACTTGGGAGTTTTTTATTTAAAATCGTTCCTTGTATTTCATTATTTTGTTATTGCTTGTCCATTCTGACTTTGATTGGGATGTAGGGGCTGTGATTGATTGGTCCTGTCTCAGCACAGTCACCATGTAGTGTGACCTTTGACATGAACAGAGCCTTCGGGTACTTTTCATTCTCAGCTGGGAACCAGAGCTTATAGTGTCTGTACTCCCTTCATGACAGATCTTCTTTGAGCATCAAGTGACTTCAGTGGATTAAATACCTGAAAGTAAGGTGTTGAAGGAGGCACGAGACACAGAAAAGCTCCTGGAGTTCAAGGGTCTGTTGTTGGGTTCTGATTCATTCTGTGACCTTACCATGATGCTTGGAAAGGTGGAGGAAGAGAGAGGAAGAAAGGAAGATTCTCAACAAAATGAATTCACAAAGCAGGAGGGACAATATAATTGAACATGGCTGAGATTCCGAGAATAGTGCAGGCGAGAGTGAGGTTCAGATTGTTTTTCACAGGGTCCCTATGAGTCTTAGGCAACTCAACAGCACCTAACAGCAGCAGTAATAACCTTGAACATGTCCCAGAACTCAGGACAAGTGAGGAGTCAGTATACCTAGGACCTAATATTGCACCCTGAAGTTATACAAGACCTCAATGTCTTTGGGCCTCAGTTTCCAAGTATATGCTGTGTGGATTTTACATTCTGTGATCTTTAAGCCTCCTTCATTCCTTCATTCTCCCCATCTTCTTCACTTTCTTCTGTCTTCTGATGATTATCTCTTTGACTTTGTTTAGAAACCAGGGAAAGCCGTGGCTGCCATCATCCAGGACATCCATTCCCAGAGGGAGAGGGACATGTTCCGGGAAGTAGACAGGTGAGGCTTCTCCTTAGCCCTCAGGGAACATTCTGGGCACTTGGAAGAGTCTCCTTTTTGAGGGCATTCGAGTCGTGTCCTAACCTGTCCTGTCTATCTACCTTTCTCCATCGTCCAGCTCAGAAATTTGACTCAGGTTAAACTTTAGGGAGGTGCACGATGCTGAACTTCTTTCTTGGTTGTTTCTTCCTCTCTAGAAAGAAATACAAGAGGTGCCCTGATTAAGGGAAGTCTACACTTACTCCAAACAGCCTGAAAATATGTATGAGAAAGTGAACATGTGTATGTGTACATCAACACGGGTGTGTGAGTGTGTGTGCTCTGCCTCGAGCCACCTCTTGACTTTTCATATAAATGTAGGAACAGGAATGTCAACGGTCCAAAAAAAGCAGTTACTTGGCTGGCCGTTTAATCTGAAAATTGAATACATTCAGTGTTCTAGCCACTTTCTTCCAACGTAACCTGTGTCCATGCCAAGCCGGGGCCGCAAGCTCCCCCCCCCCCCCCGCACTCCTTTACAAACATGGTTCCTGTGGAGACTCAAGGTGAAAACCATGGGCATGGGCACCTGGCAGCGTTCTTTGGTCCTCCCCAGCACAGAGAGCACAGCCCATGATGTGTCCTTCATTCTGGTCTGTGTGGGCAGAGCCTCATGAAACACACTGCAGTGGCCCCAGTCAAGGAGTGCTATGTGGCTCCTTATTTTGGGGCCAAATGAAAACTGCCTGTCCTTTTAGAATAGCAGGAATATGGCTCAGTTTTTAAAATGACCCTTCACAATGTGTGTCTCTAAATATCTTTTTATACATCTAGTTTGGTTTTTAAAATGTCTTTTTATTTTATATTTATGTGCATGCAACCTTCATATATGTTGTATTTCATTCCTATATATTGTTCTAAATATCTTTGTATGCAGTTTTTGAGGTTGGGATTTCCATTTGTTTCTCTGGAGTTAAGACATACATAAAACCATACTGTCCAGCTGCAGGCCTGCGGTCAAGTGGGCTGGGACTGGGAGGTCTTGCTTGGAACTTTGGCAGATCGGAGGCCTTTTCTGGGTTTCTGTTTCTTCACTTGAGACACCAGCAGATCAGACTTCTAAGGTCTCTTCCAATCCTAAAATGTGTTTTTAATTATTTGTGTTTGGAACCTCTGAGCCTGCTGCACCGTCTCCTTTTTCATGCCCTGGATGTGAACAGATTGAGAGATCAGTGGTCCAAAGAACACCTTGATCAACTCAAGTGTCGAAACCAAGAGGCCATCTGGTTGAGCCTCAGAGTTAGGAGGCCTTACCCACCAGGCTAGACCAGGGCACACCGCACCCCACTGTCTCACCTCATATACCCTCAGAGGACAGTTCTGCTTCCTGAGTGTTGCTCCCTTTCAAGAAGAAAAGAGACGGTCAAGCTAATGATTTCTCCCATTTCCAGTGAGGGGCAAGAGTAAAGGAGCGTCCCTCCTCATAGAAGCCAACCCAAGCCAAGGCAAGTTGTCATCAAACTGATTCTGACTCATGGAATCTCCATGTGTGTCAAAGTAGAATTGTGCTTCACATGTTTCTCAATGACTGATTTTTCAGCAGCAGAACAACAGGCTTTTTTTTCTGAAGTACCTTTGGGTAGACTTGAACCTGTAACCTTTCAATTGGCAGTCAATCACATTAACCATTTACATCACAGAGGGGGTCCTCAGAAACTTCATCCACTCCCATCAAGTCGGTTCCAAACCATAGCAACCCTCCTTCAGGTTTCTATGGCTGTAATTTTTTTTAAATTTTTTTTTTGGCTGTAAATTTTTGTGGGAAAAGACTGTTCATCTTTCTTTCATGAAGCAGCTGGTGGAGTCACACTACCAACCTCTTGATTCTCACCCTGATATATTATGTGCATCGCCACTAGAAACCTCATAGGAAAGAGGAAAAGACTTTGTCCGTGTCCCTCTGGTGGCTCTGTACAGCTGTGAAAGATAGGTATGTGACTGGAGTGTTAAATGTATAGTGCCCTGAGAAAGAGCCGACTCACCATGGTGGTGGCTCAGTCTGACATCTACCCACTTCTAAAGGGGAACTGTCAATAATGACAATAGCAGCAAATAAATAGCTGCTAGGTCAAACAAGCCACTTCTACCAATATGGGTCAGATATTTATTGCTAACTCACAGACTTTCCTTATAGTTGTGGGGCTTATTAGGGAAATAGGTTGGAGAGTAGAGGAAGCAAAGAATATCTCACATTGCAAGTTCAGGTTTAGTCCAGCAGTCTCAAGTCAGATTAATAGCAAAACGCAATTTCTCAATTAGTGTAAGTCCAGATTCAGTTCAGCAGCACAAAAACAAGAAGCTTCTGGTTTCCTTAATCATCCAGCAAACATTGTCTCATAGCAGTTTAGCAGTCAGTTTTTCCTTCAGTGATCCAGCAAGCAAAACTTTTAACTGTGGCCTTTATTCAGGGTTCCTCTACTTACATCTTGCCACAGTCTCCTTACAGCAGTCCCACAGTTTCTCCTCTCTGCCACACCATCACCAGGGTCTCACACTGCAGTGTGGAAAGCACTCCCTCTTATGTTAGTCCTACAGTTGTTGTTGATTTGCAAGACCATGTGTCTGCAGTTATGGTAGCTGGAGACTTGTGGGGCTAATGTAATGGCCAAAAAAGCCAACTTTTAAACTAACATCACATATCCCTATCATGAGACTCTATCTGTGTGTGTGTGTGTGTGTGTGTGTGTGTGTGTGTTGAATGGTGTGTGCTCATGAACTAAAGCTGACTCCTTGCTCCTCCACAGATATGGCCCAGAAAGGCCACGGTCGCGCAGTCCTGTGAGTCGCTCACTATCACCCAGGTCCCACACCCCAAGTTTCACCTCCTGCAGCTCTTCACACAGTCCTCCGGGCCCCTCCCGGGCTGACTGGGGCAATGGCAGGGACTCGTGGGAGCACTCTCCCTATGGCAGGAGGGAGGAAGAGCGAGACCCTGCGTCCTGGAGGGAGAATGGGGAGGACAAGAGGGACCGGACCGACATGTGGGTCCATGATCGCAAACACTATCCCCGGCAGCTGGACAAAGCTGAGCTGGATGAGCGGCTCGAGGGAGGAAGGGGCCACCGAGAAAAGTACCCAAGGTCTGGGTCTCCCAATCCACTCCACCCTGTGTCCGGCTACAAAGGCCGGGAAGACGGCTACTATAGGAAGGAGCCCAAAGCCAAGCTTGACAAGTACCTGAAGCAGGATGCTGCTGGCCGGTCCAGGAGGAAGGACGAGGCCCGACTGCGGGAGAGCAGGCACCCTCACCCCGAGGACTTAAGCAAGGAGGATGGGCCAGAGCCCAGGGCCACCAGGTCCCCTGAGAGAACCAAGGCCAAGCAGAGTGAGAAAAATAAAACCAAGAGACCCTGCCAAGACCAAGAAGGAGCTGATGATAGAAGAGAAACCAAAATGGCAGAGAATGAGGTAATGATCCAACCTCTTCCATAAGTAAGATAGTATCTCCCTCTTTCTCTCTCTTTCACTCTCTCCCTCCTCTCTCTCTCCTCTTTCTCTCTCTCTCTCCCCTCTTTCTTTTTCTCCCCCCATCTCTCTTTCATCTCTGTCTCTACCTCTCTGTCTCTCTCCCTCTGTTGTTGTCAAGTCAGAGTCAATTTACAGCTGACCCTCCAGCAGGTTTTCAGAGCCTGTAAATCCCATGAGAGGAGATTGCCCACAGAGCACTGTTCACCTTTGGGTTGAAGTGCAACTCCATACTTATTAGGCCACTAGAGCTCCCTACATAAAGTAAAGGAAGACCCAAAGGAAAGAAATTAATCAAGTAAATAAACAAATGGAAAGCGCATTGTCAGCAAGTCAATTTTGACCCATCGTGACCCTATCGGAGCTATAGAACTACTCTGTAGGGTTCCAAGGTTGTAATTTTTACAGAAATGTATCACTAGCCCTTTTCTCCTGTGCAACCACTGGTAGGCTTGAACAGCTGACCTTTTGGTTAATGGCTGAGCGCTTAAGCTTTACACCACCAGGGCCCTTTGAAATTCATATGCTGTTGAGTGCAGTTGAGTTGATTTTAACTCATAGCAATCCTATAGGATAGAGTAGAACTAACCACCTCACAGCATTTGCAAGGTTAAATCTTTACAGAAGCCAACTGCCACATCTCTCTCCCACCAAGGCTGTGGTAGGTTTAAACTATTGGCCTTTGGGTTATTGGCTTAGCGTTCTAACCACTGTTCCATCAGGGCACCACTAAGGAGAATAATATTTATAACAAGATGAGAGTGGTGTTGTATACTTTTGAGTCAGAATCAACCCATAGCTGAATCTCCAGTGGGTTTTCAGAAGCAGTAAATCGCATGGGAGGGCTTTGTCCATCTTTCTCCCCTGGAGCAGCTGATGGATTCAAACTGTATACCTTTGCATTAGCAGCACAATTCCTTACTAGAAGCTACCAGAGCTCCCTAATATGAGAATGACAGATACTTATTGAATGTTTACTGTTCACCAGGTTCCATGCTAAATAAAACAACAACAAAAAAAAACCAGGAAGTTGGTTCCAACACATAGAGAGCCCGCATCAGTCTCCAAGGCTGTAAATATTTTTGGAGGAAAACTGCCCACTTTTCTCCCAAGTAGTGGCTTGTGGATTTGCAACCAATAATAAGTTTGGTGGGTGGAGAGAGGGGATGAAGGAATTAGGAAATATCCAGAAGGGGTCTGAAAAGCCAAGGTAATTCTGGGCATAGATCAATGGTGACTAATTTTATAATAATGTATGAGAATGATCATATGAAACACAATGTGAATGGAAGAAAAATTAAGTAATTGAAGAAACCATTTAAAAACCCCAAAACACTAGGAAGCTAGCTTTTTTAAATACTCTGTAATAGGTTGAAACTAATATTTTTTAAATAATTTTTTTAAAGGAAGATGTTTACTCTTAGTCTATAGTAAGACGATTGAGAGACACATCCTTATCAGGTTAGCAGCTCCATACCTTCCCCACTATCCCACAAACCTTCTTACTATGCACAACTATATTCAAGTCATTTAATTCTCATGGTGTTATTACAGATGAGGAAACTGAGCCACAGGGAATCTGTTATTTGTTCAGGGATTCATGGTCAGAAAATGGAAGAGCTGTGATTACACCCAATCTAGATGTTCCCAGATTCCACTGTTCTCTGTTGGCTTTCCTAGACGTCAGGGGGAGACTTGACGCAGAAGCCTTGGTGGACCTGTTTGTCCAGGGTGGAGTGGCCCCAGGTGTTTGCACCCACAGAGTCTGCCAAGAGAGATTAGATCTTTGGTCCACACAGTCCTCGTTCCTGCCAACAGCACCTACCAATCCCAAGGCTTCAACCTGGGGTGGCAAAGGAGAAGCAGCCACCACCCACCCAATTATACTGGGTGCCCAGGGCTTGGCATGTTTCTCTAGACGTAATCAACTGCCAGCAATGTTTTATTTCCACTTTAATAAAAATGCACAGCAATTAGCTAAACCTTTCATCTCAGCATCTCAATTCCCTTTGCCACCTGGTGCTTTACTTCAGGTCACACTGTCGATGAAAGTCAGATTCTGGTTTTATATTCTTCCATTTTCTTCTTGCCTGAACCTTCTTACATTTAAGTGTGATTAGGAGAGTGGAGCTGATTTGGGGTTCAGAGGTGATCTGCATAAAGAACCTACTTCTCTTAACTCTCTGTATGTATCTTCTCGTCACACTGGCCCAGGAGTTGGTGGTAACGAATTAGACCAAGTAATGAACCCAGTTCCAGCTCCCTGGACCCTGAAGAGTCATCCTCTTGGCCAGTTTTGCAGCATTTATTCCACATGTGTTAGCTGAGTATAATTTGGTCAGACAGTAAGCTAGGCATAGAGTATTGGACATCGTCCATGTGGGCACAGAGAACATGCCTAAATGTTGAAAATGGACCTATGGAAAATGACTGCATTACGATAGGCCACATTCTGAAGCAGAATGGGGACAGACCACAAGTAGTAACTTTGTGGAGGCAAGCTGCCCGGAAGAGGAAACATTAGCTGGGTATTGAATGAGGAGAAAAAGAAATTGGGGCTTCTATGTAAAAGCAGCTACAAAGGCAAAAGTAAAAAAATGAAAGACTGTGGTTTTCCACAGTCTAAGTGGCTCCAGTTTTAGGACACATCAAAGGATAATTTTCAAAAAAAGCATATTCATTATATATTCAGGCAAATATAAAATAAATATGTGTCAAAGTATTTCTTTAACTCATTACTTAATGCAGCAAGACTAAAACATCAGCTCAAACGGGAACCCAAAAGAGTGTATGCAGAGAGCAACAATCCAGAATGCTGTAATGCATTTTGCTAATAGTCGTAAAACTAGCCTTCACCACCAGGGGCAGAAGATCATCTTATTACTATCCTGTAAAATTTATTTGCATCACCATAAACAGTAATCATTTACATTGCAATTAAAATAAAAACAAAGTTCAACTCATTGCAGTCAAGTCTGGAACCAACCAGTAGGTGACCTCCACTGGGTTTCCAACGCTTCACCTTGCATGGTAGGAGTTTGCCAGTCAATTTGAGCTGTTGGTAGATTCGAACCAACAGAGAAGCCAGGTCTTTAGGTTAGCAGGGTAACTCCCTACAGACTATACCACCAGAACCTCACATTACTATCCATCCTCTGCAATTTGCAGAGATGTAAAATAACCCTGTCTATGATATGCAAGATCCCTGTACGATCACATAGCCTGGGTATACTGGACAGCTGTTTACATTCCATCCGGAAGGCATGCAGTAATCTTTCCTGTCTATTGCAGAGTCTGCTAGGCTTCCACCTCCCCCATCCCACAGGTAAAATGGAGAAAAGTGCAGGAGATGGGATTAGGACACTGGGTGGAACAGTCTCATGAAAGACCTTGAGTGCTTTGTTGGGGACCTGGTACACTAGTGGATGTTTTAAAGATGAGTCTCGATGCTTGGAGGTGTCTGGAGAGCTTTCAGTATCTTAAGAAAAAGAACAGAGAATGTTTGAAGTAAGAAGTGGCAGCAGTCTCAAGCCTGGGTACCCAGCTACTTACCCCAAGTCTGTTAACCTCAACCCTTGGGTACCTACGTACTCCAAGTCTGAAAACCCTCCCCTTTGTCCTGATACTCACCCTTCTAGAGCTTCTCTTTGGTAACCTAATTTCTCCTGATTTCCTTCCGATCAGTATCTCCCCTGCTTCCACATCCTATCAGTTTGCATCACGTTGCTTATTTAAAGTTAAGTGCACTCTATGCTATCTTAAGGAAGCTTGAGTTAAAAAAAAAAAAAAGATGGCGGAATTTCTAGAAAATCCTCCGACTTTCCCCACAGTTCCGTTCACCCTATCAATTCTGTTTCTTATAGCTCTGGAGCTGGGCAATTAGGGACTTGTTGGGGCCCCAACAGGTTGCTTCTGAGATTTAGGAGCCAAGAAGCTAAGCATTGTTAAGATAGTAGCAGAACAAAGAGTTATCCTCACAGATCTCATGCATTCTTTGTCATGAAGTTAGGAAAGACCCAGGTCCCCACAGAGTGGTCTGCAGAGTGAGTAATCGGCAGCAGCTGAGCTAAGAAATGAGGCTGGAGGATGGGCTTGCTGTTCTTCCTTGAAGCTAGGCACCACCTGCCACAGGGCCTTTGCATGTGCTCCATACCTCCCTCACCTTGGAAGTCCTCCCTCTCCAAGTTCATGAGACTTGCTCTTCACATCCTTTGGTTTTTTGTTTGGTTTTTAAAAATTATTATTATTAAATATAATTTTTATTTTATACTGGTTTGCTTACAGTTCGTATACATTGTTTTTCATATCAGATCTTTCCTATTGCCATTACCCACCCCTCCCTGTACCCATTAAATTGTGCGACCCTATGATTTCCTCCAGCCCCTCTTCACCCCTATGCTCCCCTGGATCCTCATACACATTTTACTAGTTATTTCTCTGTTTCTACAATAATGGTCTTGTACAATATTTTTCTTTATAGGACTGAGTTCACTTAGCATAATGTTCTCCAGTCCCTCCCAAGTTAGGTAGTGCTTTTAAAAATTGTTGTTCCTATATGCTGCATAATATTCCATTGTGTGAATGTACCATAGTTTCTCACTCTGTTCAATTGTGGTTGGACATTTGAGCTGTTTCCATGTTTTTGCAATGGTGATTAATGCTGCTATGAACATTTGTGTACAAGTCTCCATTTGTGTCCAGGTCTAATGTTCTCGGGGTATATTCCAAACAGTGGAATAACTAGGTTATATGGGGTTTCCATGTTGAGCTTTTTGAGGAAACACCAAACTGCCTTCCAGAGTGATTGTACCATTTTACAAGCCCACCAACAGTGTATAATGGTTCCTATCTCTCCACATTCTCTCCAATGTTTATTACTTGCTGTCCTGTTAAACTTTGCCACTGCTACTGGGGTGAGATGGTATCTCATAGTGGTTTTGATT